AGACTTCACCTTTGGTCTAGAGTATCCCTCAATTTGAGGTAAGATTATTTCTAATATTTGGGGCTCGATTTGTTTTTTTATACGAACATCGTTATAAGGTCCTAGTCTCAGGCTATAGTTGGACAATCCTACTCCTAGTCTCAGGCTATAGTTGGACAATCCTACTCTTAGGCTATAGTTGGACAATCCTAGTGCTAGGCTGTAGCTAGACGGTCTTAGGCTATAGTTGGACAGTTGTTAGGCTGTATTTAGAGAGATTCTAGACTGGATCTGGATTGCTCTCAGTTGGGGCTTTGGTAGCCTCCCTTCAGCAACTCTCTTGGTACCATTCTGGCAGAACCACGTCGAGTTCTACGTTAAACAGATACAAGGTGGATAGGACTCATGACTCACTTACCATACCTTAGTCTATCTAATAGTGAGACCAAACCTGTAGATAACCTCACTTTGGAAATTTCTGGATTTTCACATACATTTCACTTGTATACATGTAAGTTGCACCTTTACTATTTAGGCAAATCTTATATAAATCATCTGACGCCGAATTACGTCAGTACGTGCCCCTTAAATAAAATTCTAGAATTTTACCCTGAGGTTGCCCAAAGAATAACTTTCACCTTTCTGTGTTAAATTTGCCTGTTGGTAGAGTGTAACCCATACTGTTTTTTTAATCTTCCACAAGTGTTAATGAACAGTTAAAACTGTTTATTTTAAATCCATATATTCATTATTTACATTTTTTTTATTTATTCAGATATTCGCAAATTAGGTACAAGCCTAATCCTAAACACCTTTTTTAATAACTTCGTCGTGGCTACTTATTGGCGCAATAGTTAAGTCCTAATTACTTGGTGGCTACACTTTTTGGCGCCTTATTATTAGTGTTATTATTTTTTAATAAAGAAAGCCAGATACATTATTGTACCTAATTAGTTGTTTTATTGTTAAGCGCTCCAATTGTACAAGTTTTGTTATAACATCAATAAGTAATCTTCCTAGTTAAGTCACAATTAACTTGGTGGCGCCCAAAGGTAAGATGTATACAAGGAACCCATAGACCCATGGCCGCCGAACTGATGCTGACTAGCCGTATGCAGTATAATTAGGCAATTGCCAAAATAAGTACGTTATAATATCTGTATATAAAATTTGCTTTCAAATGTAAAATAAGTAGAAGATAAACAAAATTTAACACCATCAAGAAAATCATTTAGAGTAAGTGGAGTGAATTCATTAAAATTGGCCATTTATTTTTTGTGCAATCCAAGTAGTCTAGGAAAATAGTCGCAAAATACATGTATTGCAAAAAAAAAAAATCCTACCCAAATTAACTTTTCAGGGATGATAGGGGGCGGGCGGGTGATCATAAAACCGAAAATATCAAACATTCACCCCTCTGGCGTTTTGCGCTATAGGGGTTGAAAGTGCGCAATTGGCGATTACTTGGTACCTATTGATTTTACAGAAAAATGTTTCAAATAAAAGATGTGCAACATTATTTGATCTACAATGTTTATCTAAAGACTTTTTTGATTAAGGGCCGTCTGTGGTCATAAGGGCCGTTTGAAATTTTATAATGAAAATGAAAAATTTTAACCAACGTGAAAATTTTTTCTACAACACATACAACATTTTTGCCCTATGAAGTTTTTCTCACCCCCTGCCGTTTTTCAATAGGGGTAGTTTAAAGTTTATTTATTTTTTCACAAAAAAAATTTTCTTATAAAAGTTTTATAAGATTACATTTCCTACAATTTTTCCCAATCAACTTTTTTTGTAACTCACCCCCATTCAGCGGGGGACACTTCCCTTAGGGAAATTTTAGTTTTTAGGGGTATATATATATTTTTTTTTCTTTTCTCACCTTTAGTGCATATAAAAAGGTGCAATTAACATTGTTCTGAAAGGATTTTTTTTCCACCACCTTTTTGTTTTTAGGGGTAGTTCGCCTATTTTCAACTTTGCAAAAAAAAGTTATAGAGAAAAGTTGCTCAAAATAATAAAATGAACAAGTTTTCTTAATAAATTTTTTTTGTAAAGTTGAAAATAGGCGAACTACCCCTAAAAACTAAAAGGTGGTGAAAAAAAATCATTTAAATAGAATGTTAATTGCAACTTTTTATGTGCACTAAAGGCGAGAAAAGAAAAAAAAAATATATACCTCTAAAAACTAAAATTTCCTCGAGGGAAGTGTCCCCCCGCTGAATGGGGGGGAGTTACAAAAAAAGTTGATCAGGAAAAATTGTAGGAAATGTCATCTTATAAAACTTTTATCAAGAAAATTTTTTTGTAAAAAAATAAAAAAACTTAAAACTACCCCTATTGAAAAATGGCAGGGGGTGAGTAAAAACTTCATAAAGCAAAAATGTTGTATGAGCTGTAGAAAATTTTTTCACGTTGGTTAAAATTTTTCATTTTCATTATAAAATTTCAAACGGCCCTTATGACCACAGACTGCCCTCGAACCTTTATATTGTAGATCAAATAATGTTGCACATCTTTTATTTAAAACATTTTTTTGTAAAATCAATAGGTACCAAGTAATCGCCAATGGCGCACTTTCAACCCCTATAGCGCCAAACGCCAGAGGGGTGAATCTTTGATATTTTCGGTTTTATGATCACCCACCCTCCCCCTATCATCCCTGAAAAGTTCTTTTGGGTAGGATTTTTTTTTTTGAAAATCGACAATTTTCCCAGACTAAAGGCCAAGTCAGTAGGGATGTTAGTAGGGTAAAAATCAAACGAGAAGAAGCCACACGCGTTATCGTTTATCTCACTTTAAATGGCAGGGACCCAGAGAAAAGGAAATCTGCCTTCTTTGTGAGCGCTGACGTCAATGGCTTCTTCTCGTTTGATTTTTACTCTATATAGGGAGATTAAATCCAAGGATATAATTATTATGGTTTTCAGGTATCTTAATTTGTTTGATAAAGTCACAAAAGGCCTAGGAGTCCCTAACAAAGTAATCATTTTCACCTATAATGTTGGATAAGCTATCTGATAAGAATTTAGAAAGATTGTAAGTATATAGGAGAATTTTTCTGATAACTTAATAAAGCCATAAAAAATAAGTAGGTGCCACATTTTTAATAATTACGTATAACCATTTCACTCATGCCTCCCTTTTTGCTCTACCCTTTTCTTTTTTGTTATTTCTTTTTTATTTTTTCCCTTCGTATTTTTTTTTTCTTATAAATTTCATGTTGCCACTCATTTGAAGTTTTTTCATTTTCCAAAATGATATCATACCTAATATTTTAACATTTATATTTCTATGGTGGGTGAGCTAACAAGTACAAGTCAAAATTTTGCGAAAATGAGTTTAAGTCATTTTGGTATATATTTTCGGTTCCTACATCGACTGGTCCAAACAGTATCAGTCAATTTATTTGAAATACTTTACTTTTAATTTCAATCCACATAGTTTAACTTAAAAGGAATTTTATTCTGTTGGGCATATCAGTATAAGTTGAATTGTACTATTTAGATTATACACTATTAATAAAATTCAAATAGTACAAGTAGACTTATACTATTCCTATCCTGATTTTGTCGGTCGACTTATACTCTTAGTACCATTTGGTGACCAAAGAGGTTATTTTATCAGCAAAAAAAAAGTGTTTTGTGAAAAAGAGTTGGCCTTCTTTTCCAGTTTTTGCAAATATCAAATTTTGGGTTGAGCAAAACTAGTATAAGTCATTTCTTAGGTCAGGTCAAGATATTATAAGTCATATTATCTTATTTCATAATAATATATGTCATCTATAGGTCTGGTCAAAAGAGTATAAGTCCATTTTTTTTTGTAATTAAAAAAAACAGAACAAAAAAAAAATAAAAAAATAGATTATCTCTAATAAAAAAACACCTTTGTAAAGTTTAAAATTCGATTCGTCCGAAACAGCCACAAAAAATCCGATTATTTTAAAGTCTAATATTTCGAAAGCATTTTTCTTGATTTGTCTAATTTTGACTTGTACTCTTTAGCCTACTCACCATAGATTTAATAGGAAGGAATATACGAACTTCATCTAAAAAAAAACACATAGCAAAACCAAGGCATGCATACCAATTTTAATTTGATTTCCATTTCAGTACTACTTTTGACACAGAATAAGGGACAACCGATTCTGCATGTTTTTTATTTTTAAATAACCATGTTTTTCGATTTTTAATTGTTGTTGTATAAGTTAGCTCTGTTTGTCATTAAATGTAACATCGTTTTCGTCATTATACAAAAATAAAATATTTTAAACGTTCGAAATGTAAAAACATCTATGGTAAGTGCTCTATTTTTGTGTATTAAAACATTTTTTGAGTTCCTTTTTTTTATGTATTTTTAGTTTATACAATTTTGACTTTTAAAATTCTGAAGATGGAATGAATAGAAAATTTTTAAACGTAAAAAAAAAAAATGTTTCATTTTTCAACCTGACTGACTCCCAATAAAAACCTTCACTGTAAGTTAGCATATGGTGCCTCCTCCCTTTTGGCTACAGTGGCATATCAAAGTGACGTCCATCAAAATACAATTTTGGATTTTTTATTGTGTTTTGATGCCTAAAACTAGTTTATACTTAATGGATAGTAACAGCTACGGGTATACAAAAAAAATCTAGTATGTAAGTCCAGTGACGTACCTACATTAATATTTTTATCTTAAAGCGGTCCATAATTTGAACATTATTGTCGTCAACATACGACACAGAAGTGATCCATCATGTTTCTAGGACCATAACAATATTTATGTATGGGGTAATTTGTTCGATATTTTCCCGCGTCAAAATGCAAAAAAAAAAATCCAAAATTATATTTTGATGGCCCTAATTTTGATATGCCACTGTAGCCGAAAGGGGGGAGGCACCATATTCTAACTTACATTTTTGTGAAGTACTTATCTGTACCTTAAACATCGTATGGTTCCGAAATTCTCATACGTAGGGTGCGGGGTTAGAAAACAAGTAGGACAAAAAAGAAAAAAAAAATAAAATTGTAACTCACCTGACCCACACAAGCCTGGACCAAATTCGGAGGAAAAAAGTTTCTGCAATCAAAAAACTAGTTATATTCATTGTGACTTGAATACGAAAAAAATGGAAAACAGCAAATATCGTTTCAAAAGCCCTCAACGCTTGAATATGAAACAAAAGGAGATTTTAAAATTCCCATTTAAATCGGCCGGAAATATGAGTGACGAACCGAAATTTCCTGCTACAATAAGGTACGTCCTGCGTAATTTAAAATGCTTAACCCAATTTTCAAGAATGAATTAAATTAAATCTCACCTGATCAAATCCAACAAAGTATCCTGGGTAAGCACGTGTCTAGTAAGTACTCTACCAGTATCATCCTCATCAACGGGTTTCCATGGTACAGTTCCTTCTCCCGGACGTATAGCCACCACTAAAAAAATCCCTAGAACTACTGCACAGACGGTTGTTGTAGAATAATACATTATTGATCTAAAATAAGTGAATGGTTTCTTTAATTGATAGTTAAGTGATATGTATTAAGTTTTCTACTTTTTGAAATTTCCCAGTAAGGGCACTACCCAAAACGTTGACGATGGACGCTACATATAGAACATACGTGCTTTCGACATGGCAGTGGAGAAGCTCATCATATACTCTCAAAATAATAAGCGTTCACCGGCGTCGTTTTATCAGGTGCAGAAAGGCTTTTGTTTACACCTTTGCGAGACATTCGAGGTCATAACGAGAATTTTGACAGAAAACTCGCTTCCTAAGAATTACACGTCGATGGCCTTTCAAAACTTGTAATTAAATTTATTTAATAGTTTAAGAGACCGCGTTAGGCCTACAGGGCAAAGGATACATCAAAAAAATAAATGAATCCATAGTAATTAATCAGTGTTTACCTTTCCTACACTACCCGACGAAACCGGTTTGTTTTGTGGACGAAATTTATGGAACCTTGGAACGTGGCTTGTTTTTTTTAATTTATAATAATCTACATGAACCACCAAGTAAAAATCGTCCTTTTTTTCATTCAGTTACCTTAGAGACCTCAAATATCTCGCAACGTCGATGAGGAATATATATGCATTTTCTCAAACGCCATAAAAAAGGTGTAACCAAAAATCCAGCTAACTGAGAGGTTTCAAAAATATGAGAAATTAGTGCAGTGAATAATTGGCGAGAAAAAAATTTACCTTAAGGCAATTTTCTTGGACAAACTCAAATCCAACGAGCCAATAGCGGAGATAACTGAGGCCATCAACAGAGGTATAATTAAGGCTTTAAGGGTTCTCAAAAAAAGCTCTCCTGGAAATGCCAAGTACATAATTTCTCTGCTCGTCCATTTGCTGCTGGAAGTGGCTCTAATAAGGAGGCCTACGGCGGTGCCACCAAAAACCCCCACAACAGTGAGGATGGTCAAAAGGTTTTTTCTCAGGCATTTTATGAATTTGTTACCATTGTCTGCCATGACCTACAAATTGGTTGTTTTTAAATAAAAATGCAACCTTGCATTGTTTTTAAATAGTTTGAGTAATCTGGTGAACGATGTTGAAAACCTAATACCAAATTATGTACCGTTTGTCTCTCTTGTTAAAGCGATTTATTAGGTAACGAGGAACTGAGAAGCGAGCTAGTTCGAACTGGTTTCATACCACCTTTAGGCCTTCTTGAATGAATTCTAAGAATATACTCCATTATCTAATAGGCGGTTACACACGGACGTGGATGGCTTGATACATATACGTGCATACATCAACGTGCAAACAACAACGTGCATGTCACTTTTGTACAGACGCTCGCACAAAATTGTCAGTCTTGCTACTCTTGCTACAGTATTCTGAGTGTGCATATAAAATTTCTAGCGATTTCAGAATTCATTTGAGTGTCATTCTACAGTTTGCACATTCAAAAACGCGACAGTATTTTGCATACGCATAGATGTTTTTGTTTGCGCGTTCATGTATGTGCGTACATGTTTTCAGACATTCACGTCTGTGTGTAACCGCCTAAAGGCGCAAACAAAAACATCAATGTGTATGCAAAATACCGTCGCGTTTTTGAATGTGCAAGCGGTAGAATGACGGTCAGGTGAATTCTGGAATGGCTAGAAATTTTGTATGCACACTTGGAAAACTATAGCAAGACTGAAAGTTTTGATAGTTTTGTGCGAGTGTCTGTACAAAGGCGACATGCACGTTTTCGTTTGCACGTTGATGTATGCACGTATATGTATCAAGCCTTCCACGTCCGTGTGTAACCGCCTTAATGGGTGCATAGAAAGAGTGCTACTGTTCGAAAGGTCAAAAATATTTATTTTTTGGCATGATGTTTAGATAGGCCATATTGATTAGTTTTGGCATATTAATAATTATTCTTTTGACTTTTAGCCATTGTCATTCTCTCTGCCTTTGCCATATAGTAAGTACTGTATTATCAGTGATGTCCGCATCACAAGCGAAAAAAATTTCAATGAAATGCAAATTTTGAATTTGAGATCAGAGTCCATTTGGAAAATAATTCAAAATTGCACCTACAAAATGTTTTAGGAACGGCTTTAATTCCAAAAATTATGAAAAAAAAATCTCAATACTATTCTAGCAATAAAAGAAATAGGTCAAAGTAACATGGAAAAAATGGGGAACTTCGTGGCAGAGATAGAACTGCAAGAAAAAAAAAACTGCAAATTGAACCAATTCCTCCACATTACCCAGTATATCTTTTCTTTTTTTTTATTCAAAATTTTGCGGTCTTGTCCTAGCCTTCTTATAGAATCTCGAGAAAACTTCCAGTTTTCAATTACACGTCTAGAGCGTCAACGTCTCAGTGAAAAACTCAGGACAATAAATCGTATAGGAAAACTAAACCAAACTTGAGAATCATACAGTGAATGAACTTTTTTCCACTTTTTGCAAGGTGATTTCTCGAGTAGCTCGTACCTAATAGGTAATTATTCAAGATTAAAGCAATAAAGAAAAAAATATAAAAATTTTGTAATTATGCAGGTACCTTATAACCTACTAACAAATATAAAAATGTTTCGTTTTCTCTATTCCGGGTGAGCTTCCTGTGTTGGTTCTCCACTGAGTGTTCCGGTTCGCCAGAGCCAGAATCGCATTTGGCGTTTTTAAGTCTTCCTCCTCCTGGGTGGATGTAAAAAATAAAATAACATATGCAGTCTGCCAAGATGCCTACATTGGAAAGACAAATCGACAAATATCGTTAAAGTCGAGTAGATTTTACGAGCACAAAGAAGCCGTCAGAAATAAACAAAAAAATTCCGCCATAGTTCTACCAACATCATCTACTAACAGGCCAAAGTATCGACTTCGACTACTGCAAACTAACCGCAGACATACCACACTTCATGACGTGAATATTGAGGGAAGCCAAAGAAATCGAGAAAGTAGGGATGATGCACAAACGAGACGATGTCTCGAAACTACCAAAAGTTTGGAAAATCCTACTGAACAAGCAACCTATAACACAAGCCACCGGTACCCCAGGAAATACTGAAAATGCTGACAACACCACACCTACTGTCACGAAGCAGACGCTCATATCCCAAATCCAACCAAGAAGTCCAACACGCCATTCAGTTATCCAAAAATAGGCAAGCTGCAGGTCCTGATGGTGTCTACTCAGAATTTATTAAAATCCTAAAAAATGAGGAGTCACTACATGCAATAGTGAAGCTTTTCAATATGGTTTACCGCGATCGGGCATCATTCCCTCTGACTGGCTTAAATCAATATTTGTGACGCTTCCGAAGAAAAGCTCTGCAAAAAGCGATTATCGCCCTATTATCGCCCTATTGGCATGATGAGCTTTCTCAAGATTTTTCTAAAGATCATATTCATAAAAGAATATACGCAAAGTGCGAGTCCTTCACGTGCGAATCCCAATTCGGTTTTCGTAACGGTTTTGGTACAAGAAAGAGCCTGCTTGGCATCCAAGTGCTGGTTCAAGGATGTAGAGATGTTTCTGTTTCTGTATACGCATGCTCCATAGACTATGAGAATGCGTTTGACAGGGTACAACAAAAGAAGCTTATGAAAATTCTCAAGGATGAAGGCCTAGATGATAGAGACCTCAAGATAATCGCAAATCTTTACTGTAATCAGACTGCACAAATCAAGGTACACCAACAAATGCCTGACGAAGTACGGATAAAAGGAGGTGTCCGGCAGGGTTGTATCCTTTCACAATAATTTTTAATCTTTATTCGAACAAAATATTCGAAAAAGCATTAGAAGACTGCACTGAGGAAATTTCTATCAACAGCGTGAACATTAGCAATCTTCGGTATCCGGACGATACGATTTCAATCGCTAATTCTCTGGAAGGTCTTCAACTATTACTTGATCATTCGGCTACTGAAAGTGGAAAATTTGGATCAAAATTGAACGCCGAAAAAACTAAATGGATGGTGGTTGTAAGAACCAGGTTGGTATTCTTCAGGTACAAAACCAACAGATCGATCGAGTCCAATCATACAGATACCTAGGATGTCAGGTTAATGAAGACTGAGATAACATGCAGAAGGTTCGTTCCAGTATTGAGCATCATTTGTAAAAATGATGTTCGTGTTGTGTAGTGGAGGTCTCTCGCTCTCCGCTCGCACTCGAGTACTACATTGCTACGTCTTCAGTATTATCTATTATGGGATTGAGGCGTGGGTCAGAGTCCACGCCATGTGTAAAAAGCTAGAGGCTTTTGAAATGTGGACAGAAGGATGGTAAAAATATCTCGGACGGACAAAGTGCGCAATGAAGATGTGCTGACGAGAATGTCAAAAGATTTTGAAGTTATCTTAACGCTTAAAAAGCGAAAATTTGAGTACTTCGCACATATACTCAGGAATGACAAATACCTACTTCTCAAGCTCATAATCGAGGGCAAAATCAAAGGCAGAGGAGACCCTGGCCGTCGAAGAATATCTTGGCTAAAGAATTTCCGACACTGGTATGGCGAAACCACGGCAAGTTCATTCAGGAAAGCAGTCGACAAAGTTGATGATTGGCAACGTTCATAGAGGACAAGACACTTAAAGAAGAAGAAGAAGAAGACAACACGCGATACAATGTGCGCAGGGCCCATTTTGCAAAGAGAGAAATAGAACATATAAAGTCATTATGCGCATGCGCCGCTCAGCAAGCATATGGAAGCCGAACAATACCTGGCAACACCGCGCAGGCACAACTCTATCATAGGATACTCGACCAGTTAGGATCCTTAGTCGGATTCCAGACACCAACTGAGGAGGAGGAAGACCTGAAAATTCCAAATGCCATCAGGCGAAAAGTCGTCAAAACCGACGGATGCACACCTGGAATTACAACAACCAAACATACAGCACCAAACGTGTTTTTGTCCTCCAGGCTGCCTCCTTGTGAACAAGTCTTCGACGAAGTCTACATTACTGGAAGACATAATTTCTCGCAAAGCATCAAACGAAATTCCGGTTTTATCGCCTTTTCATTTTGACATGGTTTCAACGTTACACATCACGCTATCGAAATATAAATACACAAACAATAATCAATCGACAAAAAGTGATTTTTCCGATAGCTTCTTTCCTCCATTCCTGACACTTTAGTTGTCCTTGGTTTTAAAGGCCCTTGCTGGTGAGGACAGTGGCGTTCACGTTGCCGTGCAGTGAAGGAAATGTGTTTATAAATTTAGACGGATAATCGTGCAATACCAGTTTTGTTCCAAAGAGCATCGCTATTATCATACCTAAAAGTTTTTACATCGTCTATACATATAGTATGCTACATGCAGTGGTTTGATCTGCTATTTTGCCATTTCTTGCATTTGTCCTACACTGAAGATCCTGTCCCCGTGCATTGATTTGGTCTTAAGAGACACCGTGTAGGGTTGCTCCGGTCAAAGGGTGAAATTATTTAGAAAGAATCCTGGCCAGAATTTTCCCGGCTGTTGAGAGCAGTGATATTCCTCGGTAATTTCCACACTCGGCTTTGTCGTTTTTCAGTGGCAATAAAGGTTTCACGCGGATCTGTGGGAATCCTTTCAGGGTTCCATATTCTGGGAATAAAGGTGTGTGTTTGTGTGCGTTCGACCATCGCACGACCCACCACCTGATAAGGCTTTCCAGGGACTCCGTCTAACCCAGCTGCTTCATTACTCCTCAGTTGGTTGATAGTTTTTTACACCTCTTGATGGGAAAAAATATCACTCAGATGGACTTAATTGGGTTTTTGAAGGACTTTATCTAATAGAGGCTGGATCTTCGAGAAGCGGAGTCCTCTATCGACCTTAGGCTATTCGGACATTTTGTAGAGGGACCATGGTTTTTTTTGTGGGGCTTAATACAGCTGTTATCGCTAGAGGGTGACATCGTGGTGCATGAGATGCCTTGATGTTAAATGTTGCTACATTTTTTTCAGTTAATTATTTTGACGAAATAGAGTATTTGTGGTGACGAGATTATGATTCAAGAATTTGCTAGTT